TTTACTGACTGTGTTACTTTACAGACTCACACTGCTTGTTTGCCTCCAGTTTTGCGTTTCTAATGATTACTGTAATCTCAGCAAATTAGGCATTAATAATCAGCGCCGAGCTTGTAATTATGATACTTAAGGTAAATTAAGCATTGACGATCGGCTGGTTGCGTCTGGCACACAGGTGTTTTAATTTATCGCTGTGTCCTGTGGAGCGGGAAGGTGATTTCAGTTGAAGAGAAAACAGCCTCATTACACATTCTTATGGTTACCCCCCACCCCCGCACCCCCCCAACCCCCCCCGTCTAGGTGTCATAGAGAACGGTATTTGTCTGGAAGAGACTGATACACAGGTTTAGTCTGTCACTCGTGAGCTTGTTCCCCAGAGATTGCCTGAGAACTCAGTACTCTCACAACGAAGCAGAGGTTTCCACAAAACACTCTTTGTCTGTTAATCGCTGGCTGCCCAGTGTGGAGGGCACACAGTGGAACCCAGTAACTCTCTGGTTTACTGTAATTCTCAAAATCCAGCAGTTTCGTACTGCGGCGAAACATAATATATGAATGATACATGTGTCCAAGTACATTTATATAATGGATATAATTAGAAAGAATTTCGCTGTTGTCTTTATTGGTTATTTAATATATAAGCGTGCTTTGCTTTATGAGCTCATTGATGAATATGATATCAGAAGGATGCGGAAGATCAAAGAGACCGTGATGTCACAAACAAATAACGGAACTCAGTGTATTAGAGTGGTTTAAAAGAGTGAGCGATGATGTAAACAATCGGCATGACGACGGCCTCAGTCCTGGGAGCTGGGAGGGTTACCTGTGCTTGTACTCCAGTTTCACTGGACCGGGGTCTGGCAGGTGAGCACATTACCTGTCAGAGATGATTCGTGTGCCCCCCGCCCCTCTCGCCCCCTCCCCTCCTCTTTCCGTTTGTCTATCTGATCCTTTGGCCTTTCATTGCTCCTTTCAAAGCCTCCCTCTCTTTATCTCCCCCCTCCTCCCCCCGATCGTGGCCGTCGAGCCTGACAGTGGCCTCCGCAGAGGACCCATCCATTACGCTGTCACGGAAGAGCTGCGTCGCTCGCTCGAGGTGTAGTGTCAACAGAAGGTGCTCGCTGGAAATCAGCAGCCCCATCTCCAGCTAATTACCCAGCCTCCAAGTTAATTAAATACGCGTTAGGAGCAACAGGGAGGATGGATAATTAAACTTGTCTCATAATTGCGTGCTGAAACATAGAATTTTCTGTGGGGTCTAAATATATGTGTAAGGGTTGGTACCTACTGTATGTGGCATGCTGACTAGAATCAACCCAGATGACTTATTTCTACATATATAAATGTGTGTGTGTGTGTGTGTGTCTATACAAAGGAAAGTAAGCCAGCAGTAATACTTATGACATTTCATGAAAAGTGTGTATTTTTCATTAAATTAAACTGTTTAAACATTGACATTGCTCTTTACCCTGTGTAATTGCTAATTGAATTAATCTCCTCAGAAGTTAATATACATGCCAAAAAAATGCCAAGGCTGATTGGAGTTACCAAATTGCCCATAGGTGTGCATGTGTGAGTGAATGGTGTGTGAGTGTGCCCTGTGTTGGGTTGGTGCCCCATCCTGGGTTGTTCCCAGCTTTGCATGGTGTGTGACTGTGCCCTGTGTTGGGTTGGTGCCCTGTGTTGGGTTGGTGCCCTGTGTTGGGTTGGTGCCTGTGATGGGTTGTTCCCTGTCTTGTGCCCATAACATGGGTCACCCCCCCCCGCCCACCCCCATGACCTTACACTGAATAAGTGGTTTCAGAAAATGGATGGATGGGTGAAGTATCACCAATGCAGCATCATCACAGTACTTTTGTCTAAAGAGTCTAATACTGTCACCACTGGTACATCCTTACAACACGGATTCTCTTTCCAAAATCAACATTTTACATCAAAACTGAGGAGAGGGTAAGGACTGGATTAACTGCATTTGGGACGCCTCACTCTTCAGGGAAGTGTTGTCACACTGGTGCAGTTCATCCCTCTTTATACATGATGGACGGTTGCTTTTAGGCCTCAGCATGTCTGGTGATTCCCGTTCCCAAAGTCGTGTTTAACCAAAGCGAGGCAGCCGCAGCTCCCACTGAAGCCCACTTTACAGCTGCTTAACAGCCACAAAAGAGCCCTGACGTGATGTGCTTTGACTTGACAATCCTCTAAAATGAGACTGGCTCCCATCGCCATTATAGTGGCAATATTTTCATAACCCCCCAACACACACACACACACACACACACACACACACACACACACACACACACAGACGTGTACTCATGGACCATCTATTCATTTTTATGGGCAAAATCCTAACCTCAACAATGATGACCTTAACCCCTACCCAGCCCTAACGTTAACCATAAGTAACCAAATAAAATATGAGACTTTAAAAAAAAAAAAAATAGGTTTATGAATTTTTAGGTTTTTGATTGCATTCACAGATCTTTGTGAGGACCTGAACCAGTGGACACACACACAGACACACCTATGTGCCTTGTAATGAATACTCCGCCCCCTCACATCCCTTACATGCACACGTGCCAAGGCTGTTTGAGAGGGCAGCCAGAGTGAAGGTGCTCTGCATTCTCAGGTCCTGCTCTTCTCTCCTAGGCATGTCAAAACGTGTGAACACAACCACACACCAGGCACATGTGGGGGGGGGGGGGGCTTCCCAAATGACTGATAGCGCCCCCTTTTCATACTTTAAATGCCCTTTTCCAATAACCAATGATCACACAAAATGAAACACCCCCCAGCTGGCAAAATTTACCAAAGTGGACCTGCAATCCAGAAAATTTACCCCAGGGCACCACCCCTGGCTACACTGGATGCCCCCCCCCCCATTGCATTCCAGCACCTGCCCCTCGAGAAGCGTGCATGCATCACTGCCAAATACTGAGTGAGTAAGTTGTACCACACCTTTCTTTTTTGCCAGTATGTTTGCACTCCTCAGCTCTCTGTGGGTGTATCGCTGCATGTTTTTATTGGTGATTCTGCGAGCTTCCTGCTACCTCGGCCTGTCCTCTTCCTCCATGTCTGTACACTTCCTGGCGGCACGCTGTGGAAAGCCGAGACCCCACAGAAAAACCAGCGGAACATTGTCGGTGCGTTACTTCCGGAGGACGCCAGCTCAGCTATTGCTGAGGCCCGTGCTTCTCCGTGCTTCTCTGCTGACCTGTCACTCGGCGTGAATGGCGCTCAGGTCCCCGGTCACCATTGTGTGACAGGCTTTACGAGAGAAAAGCGTGATGATGCTGAAAGCCAGCATGGGAGTGCTGATGAAGGCAGGATGTTCTGGAAAAAACTTCATGGTGGATTTTATTTGGTGCGACATGACCTATGGGCCAGATCTGTATCTCATTTCTCTTGATTAATCAAAGGTTTCATATGTATTAGTCTGTTTTATTATTATGTGTGAATCTATACATGCAAACATATGATGATAAATTAATAAAAATGTGGACATTACAAAATGTATTTTAAAGAAAACTGCAATAGCATTATAGAATTATGCAAAGAAATTAGGGTACAGCTTAATATCCAATTTTATGCACATTTTTCACCTAATACTGGTTCAAAAATTAACTTCACAGAAATTTGATTGCTTTTCACAGAATCTGAACGATTTTGTCATGAACATTGTGCATGGTGCTGGTTTCTACACTAAGCAGATGAGCTTGTGAATGACTGTAACTTTAGCCCTATATTTCTCCTCTTGTACTAAGAAAAAACATGTAACATATTACAGCACACAAAACTCTAGAAAGTCCCCCCTATAACTTACATTATATGGAATCAAGTAAGGCTTACTGAGTCCTGAGCTGTGTGTCCCTGAAAGGTAGAGCTTTTGTGTGTGTGCTTGGCGTTCCCTCACGTTTATTTACATAGCGACATGCACTTGTGGCTGGGTTTTACTTTCAGCAATCAGCGGCACATCGTGTTGTGGCTCCAAGAGATATGCTGTCGTGTGTGTGTATGTGTGTGTGAACATGAGCGGTCCCCATAAAGACATGTTTACCCGACATGCGCGTGCGTAAGTGTGCCTGTGTGTGTCTGCATTGGTGGTTCATCACATGGGCTGCATCTTGGTGTTTGTATAAATGAATGTGAACCTAACTGCCCACGCAAGCCCCGCCCACAAACCACACCCACATTACAATGTACGCCAAAAATGGCAGACGTCCCAATCTGTATGTTACACTGTGCACCATTAAATGCAATAAATACATTCATATTAAACGTTAAATGCCGTCCCCTTTGGATCAGGTCATTTTCGAGCGCTTTTTCCCGTCAAATAACTCGCCTGACTTTTCGGCAGCGATTCTGGGTCCCTGCAGGACAAAACCAGCAGTCCCCAGGCCGAGAGAATAGAGCGAGCGGCGGTGCCCGCGGGCCGGCCTGGGTGTCGGCGGCCTTTCTGTTTACACTGGGCACACAATGGGCGCTAAAGCCCGTCGCGCTGCGTCTTTTCTGGCTGCTCCCTGGTCCTGAATGTGCAGCCCGAGCCGCCGGCTGAATAAGCCCTGTGAATATTGCCAAGACCCCGTGCTTTGTTCAGCATTATTCACTACAATAGATATCACACTTTGGAAGTCATTTTTTAAAAAGGGAATCAAAATAGTACTTCTTGTAGCTTTTGTTTCGTTTTTTTTCCCTCCCAACTCCCTGCGTCGCCTGCACCCCTTTCAGCCGCCTCCATTATACTGACAAATTAAATAAAGCACTTCATTGCCTTGGAGGCCCAGCCAGTCCTGTCTGGACCGGCTGACTCGCAGCAAGGTGGAACCCGTCCGTAGGTCGCCTCTCCCGGGTCAGAATCTAGAATCCGAGCCTCACTTCTGGAGCCGGACACGGGGAGACCAAGAGGAAGGATATGCTTTTTCCTCTCTGCTGGGGTGTAGAAGCGATAAATAGGAGACCACCACCCCGCCCCCCCCCCAAAAAAAGAGCATCCAGGTACCTTTCTTTATTTGTTTGTCTGTTTATTTTAACGTTATTGATTTACCGTAGCTTGGGGCATGCCTGTCACCTGGTACGGGGGCCTGTCGCATCGCGTCGGGGGCTGTGTCCGCATGCTCACACTCAACCAACAGGACGCAGAGGGTCTGGCGAGATGGTACGGGGTGGGGGGGGGCGCTGTACCCACGCTGATTCTGATGATATTTTTGGTCAGTCTAGATAAACTCAGATGGGTGAAAACGAAAGCAAAAATCATTTTCTGGTTTGTTCCTTACAGAATGATAGTGAGGTAAAGCACAAACAGCATGAGATATTTATGCCTACTTCCTGCTACACTGAAACGTTCATCTTTTTGGATGTTGGTTGCACAATTACTTAAAGATGTCAAATAATTTTTATTTTAAGTCCAAGAGAAATAAAAAAGATTAAGTAGCTCAGGAAAAGTTACTATTTATCCGCAATAATATTTCGGGAAAAAACATAAACCCTCGAGATATGAAACAACTGCAAACTATCCGCAGAAGGGAATCGCTTCTGTAGTTCTGTATGGATGATGCAGATTTGGCTTTTATTTGTGTGTGACTGTGAACATAATGATCTTTGTCATTGTGATGCAGACAGGCGCTGTCAGGTTGGTCCACCCTACCTACACGTGGTAGGAAGGTTACTTTTAAAGATCTGCTATGAGGTTATTTTATTCTTTGTGTGAAGGAAGGAGTGCGAGTCACTCATGAAAAATAAAGGAGGGGCGAAAGAAAGAGCAGGTGAGAAGGAAAGGGCAGGTGGGTAGGACAGCTTTGAAGGCACTGGACCCCCCAGGGAGGGTGACCCCATTTAGGATTCTCGGCGTCTGTGGGACGGAGCATGGCCCATCGTCCATCTTGCTGGGGGAGCCGCGGGGGCCCAGGTGGGCTTGGGGTCTGGCCTGAATTCGGGGGACCACAGATGTGCCCCCCCCCACAGGGCCATGAAAATAGAGAAAAGGCTCACGAAGAAAACATGGCGGAAACTTGTATACCCCTATATGGCGGCTGACCCCCCCCCCCCCCCCCCCC